CACGCCCTCCCCGCCGGCGCACTGCGATAGGCTGCGGCCAGGCCCTGATGGCCACGCCCCTCCCCAGGTCGCGGGAGCCGGAGGGGCGGCGGACCAGGCAGGGCCGGCGTTGCAGTGGTGTGTGTACGAACCCACGGCGACCCTGTGTACAGCAGACCTGCGCCACCCTCACTACTGTTCCGATGTTTGAGCCCATTGTTGCAGCCACTGTGTCGATCCATCTCGTCCAAGGTCTTCTTTTTCTCTACCCCTCCACCGAGCACATGTCCTCCCCCGGGGACCTGTCTCTCCAGACATGTCCAAAGCCCGTGAGACAAGTCTCGCCATCCTTGCCTGCAAGGAGCATCCTCGTTGTAGTTCCGAGACAGTTTGGTTGGTTTTTATGGTTTCTTCGTCAAACGATTGGAGTGCGTTGTTCTTTCCGTTGATCTTCCCTATTCAACGTCCAACTTGGTGTCGTGCACACACACTTTAGTCTTCAAAGTACGGAGCATCCTTGCTTTCTAACACTTTAAAGAGGCCGTGGGCAGCAGGCTGACCCCATGCAGGGCTCTATTCCATGAGCACTGAGCGTGGATCTCACCAAGTTGAAATCCTTGACAACTTTAATATTTTCTCCATTTTCCACGTTGTTATCTGTTGGTTCAGTTGGAAGGATTTGTTTTTCTTTACATTGAGTTATAATCAAATTTAGTATTAACACACACACATACACGCGCATGCACACTCATACACACACACACACACAACGACACAAACTCACTGCCATCAAGTGGCTTCCGACTCACAGTGGCCCCATAGGACAGGAGAGGTCATTTTGGGGGTTTCCACGACTGTTTATGGAAGCAGGAAGCTTCGTCTTTCTTCTGAGGTGGTTTTGAACTGCTGACCTTGCCGTTAGCAGCCCAGCCTGTAACTAACCACTACACCATCAGGGCTCATGGATCTCACACAAGTTAAATTATCTTCAGGTGTTTGATGGCACCATCGTTGTAAGAGAAAAGAAACATGGCCTATAGTCCAGTAGACAAGACTCTGATGACTACGCGGAGGCCAAGGGCGGGAAGGGAGGGTTACGGAGCGGTTTTGTAATCCAAGTGAATTTTTATGAAGGAAAGGACAAGTTTCAACTTTTACAGTCTCAAAGGGTATATGCTATTCTGGACAGCGTGCCCAAGCTGCTAGGAAACCATGCTGGGGCTCACAACTGGGCAGGAAAGACCAAGTAGAAAAGAGCACCCACACGTGTAGATCCTGGGTACCAAGAGGTCAAGAGACTAAAAGCACGTGAGCAAGAATCTAAGAGCCACAGCATATGTGGGCCCCAAGTAATCCCTGAGCAGGCCCTGAGTGGGCACCCCCACCCTCCAACCTGCTGCAGGACCAGAACAAGAGAGAGCTGGCCTTCGCACAGCAGGGGGGGGGTATTGAACACCCCTGGCAGGGGAGTTGTGGGGGCGCCCCATTGAATGAGTTCAGGCCCACCCATGTGATGTACCCAACGTGGGTGTGCTCAAGGTATTGGTTTTACCTGGACCTAGGGGTCCTAGTCTGCGCATGCTCAGTTTGGTTTTCCCACAGGTGTCCAAAGCCTGGCTGATTTCTTTCCAATCCCTCTATGCAGGCCTTTGCAGGCATGGGAGGGATAACCCCTTCGTCCCTAAGCTAGCTACCGGACATAAACATTATATCGTGTTCTGCTCCCGTGAAGACTTACAGCTTCACCCACAGGAGCAGTTTTGCTCTGTCCTATACTGTCCCTGAGAGTCGAAGTGGACTCAAAGACAAGGAAGTGTTTTGTTTATGTGTTTGTTGTTTTTGGACCCCCACAAGAGAGAGCTTGGTTTTTGGAAGAGATTAAACTTAAAATGTTTTCATAGAGTGAGTCTTTCTGCTGGACATTGTCAATTGCTTGTCTTTACAATTGCTGACAGCCCCTTTACTCCATCTCTAGCAGCTTCCCCCTCCACGCCCTCCTTCCCCCTCCCACCGCCATGGGCCTATGGGTGGAGGCAAGGCTATGGTGTTTCTAGTTCAACCTTAAACCACTCCACAGCCCCTTGATATTTTAACAACAGCCTCTTGGCCGACGTGCAGGACCTACTTGTTCTAGAATTCCCCTTCTTTGCCACATTACCCAGGGTTTGCTATGATTCACACCGATAAGCAACTTTCAGCTAGCCTCTGCTTTCAGCCAAGATTGATCTGACTTCTGAATGTGGTCCGTTGTTCTACACCCTTTCTGAACCCAGCTCAAGTTTCTCGTCATTCCCTGAGGATGTTCTGCTGTCAGTGTTTTTTGAATTATCTTCAGACCAATGTTTAGGTTTGAGAAATAAGGGCATCTGGAGGGGTTTTTAAACCTTGTTGATACAGAAACATACTCTAGACATATATATGTACACAGCCATCTCACGAAATGAAATCGCCAACAGTATCCTGTTCCACTCTCCATAGATGTGGTTCTTGTCCCACCCCGCTCCGTAACCCTCCCTTCCCGCCCTTGGCCTCCGCGTAGTCATCAGAGTCTTGTCTACTGGACTATAGGCCATGTTTCTTTTCTCTTACAACGATGGTGCCATCAAACACCTG